GGTCGTTGGCCTCGATTAGCACACTTATCCTCCCAGTTTTATCAGCTATTGGTTGTCTGTATTCAGCTGTTGGCTATTTGTATTCAGCTGGTGGCTATACTTTTGCACATTTGTGCGTTTTTATATAATATCTCTATCGTTTCGAAAAAAAAAAGAATTGAAGGCTTATATGAGTTCAGACAATCAAAATGATTAATTAATTATTATTGTTCATATGAAAAGAGGAACAAACTGAGAGTACACATATCAAATTTAGACAATCGAGTCGTAAAAAATCGTCGGTTGAAGTATTCACCCTCATATCACCGGAAACTTGGAAACTTCACTTCCATTTTTTTTTACTATTTAAGGTCCGATTGACGATCGTGAGATATCATTGTATACCTTATGAAAATAGTTTCTTTACATATGCGTTTCACAAATATCCAATGGTTGGATCTCCAGGTGACATTGCAAAATAATTTGCTGTGTAATTCATTGATTTTTTTAAACCTCTAATAACCATTTAACAAAGTTTGAGGTATCATAAGATGAAATTAAACATGTAGTTGGATAGATCTAGTCAAGAGATTCAAAATGATATATAATTTGTTAAAATTCACTAATGGTAGACGAACGACGAACGACGACTAATGGTGGTGGTCCCCAACAGCGGGTGGCGACGAGATGGTCGAATATTCAATTTTACTATGTTTAATTACCCTATTTTTTAGTTATTATAATTATGTACATGAGATAGATTTTAAATACAAAATATGAATTTATAATGAAATAAATAATGTAAATCAAAGTAAGGGTATAATAGATATTTCGCATGCACGAGGTGTACAAAGCAATGTACGAGGCAGACAACATACTTTTTGCCTCGTACATTAAATGTAAGGTTGAGGTTGAATTTTTTTATCAATTTAATGGTGAGATTAGGGTATACCTATTGTAAGGTATAGACGAGGACTACCTGATCCTAGAAGGTTCCTAGTGACATTCCCCCTGCCATCTCAAAAGTCTAGCTTTTTCAAATTTTCATTAATAGAAAGTTTCCATTTTTTAAAATGCTTTCCATAATGTAAAGATTTTTTTCTTATTTATGTGCCAGATCCTTTGTTGTTGCTGTTAAAATAAATCAGTAGTATATCTACATGGTTTTCACCTTGGCCTATTTTTCTAATAAGTTCTACAACCCACCTATGATCACTAGCATCTTCATAGAGAATAAAATTATCTTCTTCTTGTGGAATTGCTAGTCTAGGAAAATTCATTTTATCTCGCAAACTCTTTTACTATGAATTTCTTCCCACTTAAAAAGGATTATCCTTTTTTAGAAGTGGACAAAATCTTTCTTATACCTTCCAAAAACTTTTGTAGAATTTCCAGAAAAATTAATAACTTCGAGAACTCTGGAGTTGAGTCTTGTCATTAAGTTGGTCCGATAAATTCTGAATTTTTTAACAATATGATCCTGCAACTCAATTCCACTTCATCAATTAATACGTTAGCACCATTACCACTNGACATTCCATATATATTCTCCCTATGGTGTGGAAAATGGTGTGTATTTCTTTGATTCAATTCCAATTTGATTTTTTTACTTAAAAAAAAAAAGAAAAAATGAAGTGGACAAGAACAAAACAAAAAAAAATCTTGTGGAAATAAATAAAAAGCACGTATTCTGAGAATACGTTTTTTTTGTAATTTTAATTGAAAAACGTATTTGCATAATACGTTTTTCATTGAAACACGTATTCTGAGAATACGTTTTCCAATGATAATTTGTAAAGAAAACGTATTCTCAGAATACGTGTTTTTGATTTTGGTCCAGATTTTTTTTTTTGCTTTTATTTGTGTCCACTTGTGTTTTTTTTGTTTTTTATATATAAATTTCCCATTCTAATTTGGTAAAATCCTGATTTGCAATCAAATTTTGAAAACACCTTAGCTCCTTTCATACGGTCAATCAGGCGTTCTATACTTGAAATATAATAGCCATCAAATTCTAGGATTTTATTAATTCATTTATAATTGATAACTAATCTCATTTTTCCCCCCTTTTTTTTTTACTCCTTGATTCCTAACCATAAATCTTGGACTAGCTATATGGAGGAATTCCTGGTTAAATAACGTTAAGATCAATATGCTCTTTTATCCTCATAATTCATCAGGAATGGCTTGTACCGTACTAATTCATAATTACATTGCTTCTTAACATTTTAGTACAACTTCAATTTCATTTTTATCCCACCTTGCCAAGGGATTTTCACTATAATTTCTTTGAATCATCCTTTTTGACATTTTCAAGTTCTAGCCTATCCTCTTGCCCGTCTTCTATTCGTGGTGTTTTTGTTAGACTAACCTCATAAGAACAAGAACTTCGCCTCTGACCTTATGTGATTTATCTCCTTCTTTACTCTCTCTTCTCCACTCGATAAATCTTTTGGAGTGTTAGAAATATCCATCATCTATTACTATATAATAGAGAATTTACTTAAAATAGTATTAAAATTTCCGCTTAAAATTTTCAAAATTACTATTCTTAATATTTTTTTTAGAAAATTGCGGCTGAACGAAAATTCAAATTCAAATTTAAAAAAAAATGTTATTTGAAAAAGATATTGTGTAAACAATAATTCTCAAATATATGAGCAATGATTTCCTTAAATGTTATGGGTAAATCTGGCCAATAATGAGAATGAATCTTGAAAATTCCGCTTCTAACAAATCCAAGCAATCATCATTTTCTTAATTTTTTTTAGTCAAACGTGTAAATTTGGTTACAAAAATCCGGTCAATCATTTAACGAATAAAACATTTGAAATATTTTGAAATTCTTTCGAAAAGTCATGTCAACTTAATTGTCAAATATTTGTATCCATATTTATCTATCTACAAATCTCATGTTTTATGGTCACGACTAAAAATTTGTATTTATTTAATAAAGAATGTTAATTTCGAAAATTAATTTTTATATTTTTGATTGTTCAACTTAATTGATGATCTTTTTGTCCATATTTATCTAACTACAAAATATTTAAATGTTTAGAAAGAATCTCGTATCATGTGGATTTTTGGTGCATATTTTTTTTTACACATCCATTTTTCATCTCATATCCAAATTATAAATTTTAACATCATATTTATTAAATATATAAATAAATATTTTTAAAAAGCATGTCTATTCATATATTTAATTTTATCATGATATTATCATGTGTTGGATGTTATTAGTTTAGTTTGCGACACTCATTATATTCAAATAAATAAAATATAATTTTTTATATTTTATTATTTTTTCTTGTAATAATGAGATGTTAAATATAAATAATTATGTTTAATATAAAATTTAGTATTAATTAAAGTAACAAGCATTAATTTAGCATTAAATACAAATAATTTAAACAACTTGTAACATGACATCTATATATATATAATAAGAATTAACATTTACCAAAAATAGTAGCAAAAAAATAGGTCAAAATTTAATGCAGCCTATAAATAGTAAGTTTCATTATTTTTCTTATTTTCTTTTTTAAAAATCATACAGCATTAAATGCTACCTTAAATTTCGAGCTTTAGTTCATTTTATTATTTAAAAAATCCGGCAAAGATTTATTAAGTGTGTAAGTTTTTATTTTTATTTTTTTCTTAGAAACAACGAACAACATTAAAATCTCAATTCAAAATATAACAAAAACTTTAAAATCTCAGTCTTTATATTTGTGCCTTTAAAAAAAATATTGAACGCTAAAAACATTCTTTAAATTGAATAATCAATCAATTAATCTTAATTTTTTAAAAGTTACTATGTTTATTTTGTATTAATATGCATAAAGTAAAAATAATTTATTCATCTTTAGATATATAATTTATAATATTAATATACTATCATTTGATGTAGACATTTATTATATGAATCATAAAATATTTTTATTTCATAAAATTTAAAATATGTAAAGAAAATAAGAAAATATCTTCGGATCAATCGGGTGATTGAACTAGGGTACTGCCCAGGTTGATTGAATTACTTTTAGGTGATATTTAAAATAGTAAAAAAAACTTGACACAACTTGGTTGGTCCCAGGTGACTAAGTTATGTATTTGTTCGACCACACAAAATCGATTATTAAACCTAAATATAAATTTTATATTAAAAATATCTTATTACGTGAATGTGATGTAGTCCAAACTTCAAATAATCGTATTAACAATACTTTTATTACAACATGTTTAATGATTTATGAATATTTAGATATCATTTTATTAATATTTATGTGAAGTAAATAATATTTTATTATAATATTTATCAATATACAGTAAATATAAGGTTTTCAGAACTGGACCGTCATCGAAACGATCAACTTATTTTATTAAATCACTTGTGGTTTGTTCATATTTTAATTTATAACTATTTTATTAAATCATTTGTGGTTTGTTCAGATTTTAATTTATAAACATTTTAATATATATATATAGTACTTTTTGTAATAAATTTAAATAAAATGTGTTACTTAGATATCTAAACAATTTATAAATTCAAATGTTTAAACTAATTGATAAATAATTTATAAATCTCTATTTTATTTAAATGTGTAATTTTATTTAAAATAATTTTAAATATAACAAATTTATTTAAAAAATCGATCCTACCAGTCCAACCGACTGGTGTTGACGGATTCGAGAGCAAATGTTTTATTCAAACGAAATAGACTGGTTATAAACCGGTTCTCGGTCCATCCGGTTGGACTGTGTTCAACCCGGTTTAATTTAAAAACAATGGATAAATCATAGTTAATGTTATTTATATATTTAAATTATAATACAATCGTAAAATATTATTTTCCTGTGCATCGCACGGGCCACGCACTAGTCTATGTACTAGGAGCATTTTTCTTTTTCATATGATAAATCCTATATGAAACCTATCACTTGCAACTGTAAAATGGTCATCGTCTATTTCGTAGCCAAAACAAAAGAAAACCCCACAAACCCAGACATAATTTAGGAAGATGGGTTTAATAGGAGAAGGTCAACAGGTTTCAAAATCTGCTGCCAAAATCTCACTTCTTAATCGCATCGATCTTTCAAGCCCTGATACTCAAGGCTCCGTTGCGCTCCTCAAACAGGCATCTATCTTGCTCCACCTTTTTTTCTTAGAATTATGCTATCTGATGAAGATATGTTGAATCTTTTGAGCAGTGATGGATGGCTTTCTCTCGCGTGTATATCCAATGTTGGACATTTGTTCTCGAAATTTTTATGATAATTCTTGTTGGTATTGTTGGTGTCTCAAGCGGACCATATTTTCTGATGTGCTGTTCAATATTTTAATTATTTATCCAAAAAATTGTTCTGCAACAAAAACCATTGTTGCTGCACTATCCAGAATTATATGTTGTATTTATTTGGGAGAGGGTTGACTTTTGTACACAGTGGAACTTGAAGCGCTACAGTACCAAGGATTGGAGCATTTTCTAGTTTACTAAAATCGTGCTGGGGGTTCATGTTGTTTTAATGACAAAATGATAGAATTGGAAAATTGAGAAATCATGTACGTCTCCCAAAGCTTTTCATGCTGTAATCAGTTAGTTTTTATTTTAGAACATCTGATCTCAAGATTTGATTTTCCTTTTATTTTTCTTTTCTTTTATGTCTTTCTGGATCTTCTAGCTAAAGGTTTCTACCAAACATGGTTTTCTGTGTGTGGAAATTCATTCTTGTTTTGAAGTATTTCCTGACTGATTATTGTCTTACGAAGTTATGACTCAACTGTGACCATGAACATTAGGCGTGCTTAGATTCTGGGTTCTTCTATGTAATCAATCATGGGATTGACGAGGCACTCCTGGATGAAGTTTTCTCTCAAAGCAAAAGATTTTTCAATTTGCCGAAGAAGGAAAAGATGAAGCTTCTGAGGAATGAGAAAAACCGAGGCTATACCCCTGTTTTTGATGAAACTTTGGATCGTGCCAATCAGATACATGGTTTCTGCTGTTATCTTACTCAAGCTTTAAAAATTTCGTATTTCGACTTATTTAGAGGTGATTTTGCATTTTTATGATTCAGGGGACTATAAAGAGGGATACTACATTGGAGTTGAAGTATCTGATGATGACTTTGATGAACAGAAACCTTTTTATTCACCAAACATCTGGCCTAATGAAGGTAACTTAAGGGAAAAAGGGCTGATGTTTTGAACAGCCTCATTTCCTGAAACTTGAATGGATGCTCCAACATGTTTTTACTTGCATTAGCAACAAACAAAATAAAGTTCAGACAACTTAGGGATTATAAGTTCAGTTGAAGGGATTAACTTAGTCTGGTTGATTATTTCGGCAATACTCTCAATGTTGTATAAATAGATTATACGGCCTACTGGAACACAATAGTATTTGCTATTTCATGTGGTAAAGTCCATACTAGAACACATATTACGTACTCACATACTCAAGCCTTCGGAGTTTGTTGTCGATACATGAATAGTATATTGAACCACAAATAGTCATGGTCCATGATGCTTGAATGAAAATATGCAAGACTCAAGAAAGCACAAGTTCATCAATGTTTTTCAGTGAAAGAGCAGGCCCAGTCATACATGTTAATGGAAGTTATATTTGTATTAGTTACTGGACTTCTGTGTATAAATATGGTTTGGGCACCCTCTCCCTTTGAGCTGCTTTTGGGGACAAGTTCTACCCAGACCCATTTTATCACATGTTAAGCAACCTTATTAGTTATTCCCTCTTTCCCTAAAAGATTGGCTACGGTTATTTCATTCAGATTAAAAAAATGTTAGTTGAAAGTTTATTTTTTCCTTGGATACTCCTGTTCACTATTGTATTGTACTCGTTTTCCGTGATGTTTATTTCCATGTGTGCAATTGAGTAGGGAGCATATAGGTGTACAGGGACAGTAAAATTATTTATGTACTAAATATGGCAATAAGACTATCTTTTTTTGACACTTTGAATGGAGTTGTGGCCTATCTTTTTGGGTCATGGGGAGCATTATTTAAGTTGGACCTTGTTATCCAAGTTGATTGTTAAACTGCATGTTTTGAACATTATAAATGTCATGGATCTCTAACAGATATCTTGCCTGGATGGAAGCAAACTATGGAGAAGTATCATCAGAAGGCCCTGTAAGTTACACCTACCAAATCATCCTTTTAGAAAAACATAGAACCTTAAACTATGGGAAGTTATGGCATTGACCGGACTTGTATTGATAATTATGAAAAAACATTAATTTGCGAAGATACATGTTTGTCCATGGAATTTAAGAAATGTGAATCAGTGACCCCATCAATTATCTATTCTATGCTGCCTCTTTTTATATTACTATTTTTCCTTATGTGAAAGCAATTTCCTGGTTCTTTTTGAGGATTTGCTAAAATGGGTGTAAGAGAAAAATATTTGCTATTTTATTACAACAGTCTTGCCAGCATTTGTAAATTAATATACAATCAATGCTTTTCGTTTCATACTTTAATGCTTGGAAAAGGAGGTACCGTGCACGGTTTTCAGTTAATTACTACTGCATGGAGATAGTACCTCATTTTAATTAAACCAATGTAATTCGTAAATGTCATCAATATCTCATTTGTCGTTCATATCTATGTCTCTATCAAGCTGGAAGAAGCCAACTACAACAACAACAACATCAACATAGCCTTTTAGTCCCAAGCAAGTTGGGGTAGACTAGAGATGAAACTCAAGAGAACCAATGGTAAGAGAAACACAAAAAGGGCTCAGAACAAAAGGAAGAGATTGGAGCAAAAGTCACGGTTCTGGCACGTTGATTGGTAGCCTCCAAGCACTCCTATCCACCGCTAAATCCTTGGAGATATTCCAATCTTTAAGGTCTCTCTTAACCGACTCTTCCCAAGTGAGTTTAGGCCGACCTCTACCTCTCTTTACATCATCGACCCGCTGTAGAACTCCCCTATGCACCGGTGCATCAGGAGGCCTCCGTTGGACATATCTGAACCACCTCAGCCGATGTTGAACCAATTTCTCATCAATTGGAGCCACCCCGACCCTATCTCGAATATCCTCATTCCGGATTCTGTCCCTTCTTGTGTGCCCGCAGAACCAACGCAACATATGCATCTCTGCTACACTTATTTGTTGGACATGTTGCCTTTTATAGGCCAACATTCAGCACCGTATAGCATCGCTGGGCGAATCGTCGTCCTATATAACTTACCTTTTAGCCTTTGTGGCACCCTCTTATCACAGAGAACGACCGAAGCTTGACGCCATTTCAACCAACCGACTGCAATTCTATGCCTAACATCAACATCAATGCCGCCATCCTTTTGTAGCATCGATCCTAAATACCGGAAAGTCTCCTTCTTGGCCACCACTTGCCCGTCAAGGCTAACGTCACCATCATCATGTGTAGCCATGCTGAAAGCGCACGTCATGTACTCGGTCTTCGTCCTACTAAGTCTGAAGCCTTTCGACTCTAACGTATCCTTCCACAGCTCTAACTTCCTATTTACCCCTGCCCTACTCTCGTCAACTAGCACCACATCATCAGCAAAGAGCATACACCAAGGGATATCACCTTGTATGTCCCTTGTGGCTTCATCCATCACCAAAGCAAATAAATAAGGGCTCAATGTTGACCCCTGGTGTAGTCCTATTTTAATTGGGAAGTTGCTGGTATCGCCCCCACATGTTCGGACACACGTCATCGCATCCTTGATACATATCCTTGATGAGGTAATGTACTTAGATGGGACTTTGTGCTTTTCTAAGGCCCACCACATGACATTCCTCGGTGCTCTATCATAAGTCTTCTCAAGGTCTAAAGACTCGTCATAAGTCCTCGGTACTCTGTACATAAACCCAAATTGGTTTTGGGTCACACTCGTCACTCGTCGTAGGCGATGCTCGATAACCCTCTCCCAGAGCTTCATCGTATGGCTCATCAACTTAATCCCACGGTAGTTACCACAACTTCGAACATCTTCCTTGTTCTTGAAGATCGGTACTAAAGTACTTCTCCTCCATTCATCGGGCATCTTGTTTGACCGGAAAATGAGGTTAAAAAGCTTAGTTAGCCATACTAACGCTTTGACGCTCAAGCATCTCTACACCTCAATGGGGACACCATCAGGGCCCATTGCTTTACCTCCCTTCATCCTCTTCATAGCCTCTCTGATATCTGCCTCCCGAATTCTCCTCACCAAGCGTCTATTGGTATCCTCAAGTGAGTCATCCAACTCTAGGGTGGGACCCTCACTCTCCCCATTAAACAATTTGTCGAAGTACTCTCGCCATCTGTTCTTGATCTCCCCATCCTTCACCAGTGGCCGATCCGACCCATCCTTGATGCATTTGATTTGGTTGATGTCCCTTGTCTTCCTCTCCCGAATCCCAGCCATCCTATAAATGTCCTTCTCCCCCTCCTTCGTGCCTAGGCGCTGGTAAAGGTCATCATAGGCCTGACCCTTCTCTACACTCACGGCACGCTTTGCAGCCCTTCTCGCTATTTTATAGCTCTCAATGTTGGTTGCACTCTTGTCAAGGTGGAGACGCTTGAAAAACTTCTTCTCCTGAATAGCCCTTTGCACCTCGTCATTCCACCACCAAGTGTCCTTCTCTTCCTGCTTGCCTTACTTCTGCAGCCACCTTCCGTACACATGTTGCCATCTTTAGACACATGTCATCTACATCTTCTCCTTCTTCTCAAGGCCCCTCGCTTAGTATCCTATCCCTAAACGTCTTTGCCGCTTCCCCTTTAAGCTTCCACCACTTCGTTCTCACTGTCTTGGCACGTTTGTCCCGGTGGACACGTATTCGGAATCGAAAATCCGCCAGCTGGGGGACAACACACTCTCCAGGTATCACCTTGCAATCTACGCAAGCGCGTCTATCCTCCCTCCTTGCAAGGATAAAGTCGATCTGATTTGAGTGTCGTCCACTATGGATCACCAGGTGAGATTCCCTCAAAAGAGGGTGTTCGCTATCAACAAGTTGTAGGCCATCGCAAAGTCCAACACACCCTTCCCCTCTTCGTCCCTACTACCATACCCAAATCATCCGTGCACTCTCTCGAAACCTATATTAGTCGCACCCACATGGCCGTTTAGGTCTCCTCCTACGAAGAGCTTCTCACTGGCACGCATCGTACGAACCAAGGTATCCAGATCCTCCCAGAATTTAATTTGTTCACGCCGCAACGATTACTTTAGATATTCAATAAGCTTTCATCGAATCTCGTTGTGAATTAGTTGTGTTTCGGCTAGTTATAAGTTTAGTACTTTTCAAGGTAAACCTAACAACATCAGCACAATCCTGTGTTACAATGTGGAACTGGGATTGCCACATTTCTGACATTTTTGTTTGCTACTCTTAGAAGTAAATAAATAATTTCATGGTCCTCCCTTTTCACCTTAATGCTTGGTTCATTTATTCACCTATGAGGCCTCAAGTTAATATTTAGTTGGAGAGGGCATGAAGCTACTAAAATTACTTATCATTATTGGTTCATTTGTTCACCTATGAGGCTTCAAGTTAAATTTAGTTGGAGAGGGCATGAAGCTACTAAAATTACTTATCAATACAATTGCTTTTCCTAGACATCATGATGCAGTAATACCACATCTCAACTGGGCATGTATAGAAGGTCAGCTTTGTATTTCTGGACACATACAAGAGATATTAAAATGCAGTTAAGTAGAAAGTCTCATGGACTTGACATCTTTGTGCTTTATAAACCAGTATTCATTATTTTGGATAGTATGAAACATGTGAACAATGAGAATGCTAATCTTTAAGTAGGAACACTTTATAGTAGATAGAAATACCCAAGTGTATACTTTTATGAATAGTCTTTCGTTGTTCACAGAGAGGTGGCTAGAGCAGTTTCACGGTTAGTAGCCCTGGCACTTGACCTGAACATCGACTTTTTCGACCAGCCTGAAATGCTTGGAAATCCAATCGCAACCTTACGACTGCTGCATTATGAAGGTTAGAAATAACACCATTTAACCAAAGCAGTCATCATTTTATCACTTAGATTATATAGTTTTAATGGTGCTTGACTACAATAGATCGAACTTCTGAGCCTGACAAGGGAATATTTGGAGCTGGTGCACACTCTGATTATGGTTTGATTACCCTTTTGGCTACAGAAGATGTGGATGGTCTTCAGGTATGTCTGATAAAGATCTTTACCAGTGATTGAGATGGCGACGCCATGGTGTGAGGCGTGGCGTGGCCTGGCTGCCTCGAGTTACAGATTTTTTGAGCATTTTTTTTTTTAATTTTTTTTTGGAAATGTCAATGTCAATAGATTTCTAATTTTTAGCATTGGCTGGCCTTGCTTCAATAGGGCAAGCGCCTCACCTCATGCTTCATGCCATGGAAAATAGGAGAGCCTCGGCACGCCTGTGCACTTTTTCAATCACTGATACTTACTATATTTTCTGTATTGTTGTTAAGTTAGATATTGGTCTTTTGCAGATATGTAAAGACAAGGATGCTAAACCTCAGATCTGGGAGGATGTACCACCATTAAAAGGGTAAGACTTTATAATCTGTGTATTTTTATCTCACACATTAGAAAGTCTTGGTACTTGCTGCTTGCTGTTTGTCATTTCTGATTATTCATGCATAATTTGGATGCCATTCACTGGAAATGTTCAATTTTAGCTTTTCATGAAACGCATAGTGTATATCACTGCAGAAATATGTTTCCTCATTCCCACTAAACATTGCCTATATCCCCGTAATGAATAGATCTACAGAGAAGAGAATGGTTCTTTTTTCCAACCCATGATTACGGCTTGCTATAACCTCACCTTTAACTTTTAGCATTATGAGTAAAATGCGGATATCTGAAATTCATACTCTTCTTATGCTCTGTTACATGTTCTAGACAATGTACTTTCATCCAATTGTCTATATTTTGTCTTTTCAGGGCATTTATAGTTAATCTTGGTGATATGCTGGAACGCTGGAGCAACTGCATGTTCAGGTAATCTACGTTTACATAGAAGAACGTCAATCCGTTAGCAAGGTTCATACCCATTGAAAACTGTGTGAAGTGGGGATACTAAATGGAGGGAATTACTGACTTTCCACTTGGATCTTACTAGCATGACTTTGTGATACTATATTCAGCCTTAAGGAATTGCCCCATCCGCACTCATTGCCCAAATTACCCCGTCAACTACTAAACCCAAGCTTTTTCTTCAACCCTCAGCCCAAATTTTACCCTCCATCTGCACAAAACCCAACTCACCACCCCTCACCCCAAGACAATCCCCAGGCCAACAACTCCCAGCTGCCTATCTACTTTGGAAAATCTACACCCTCGGCCCAATTGGATGCTTCTGGGGCTTCTTTCACTAAGGGTCCGTTTGGTAAATGGCATTTTGATAAAAAAATCAGCTGTTTGAACAGTTAGCGGGTTTGACTTTAACAATCTGCTAAGAAGAGGCATTTATTTGGTTAGCAGCTTTTTAGTTAGCTGTTTTTATCAAAACCGTCAAAATGAAAAACGCTCCTTGGTGGAGCGTTTGCAAATAGCTGTTGGAGGAAAATAATTATCATGTACTTAATTGCCCGCTAATTCGGCCAGAGAAAAGAGAAAAGGCAAAAAGACATTAGAGTGATAAAGAATGGATTTATAGAATAAAGTGTTATATTTGGTAGAGAGGGGTTTGATAAAATATCAAAACTACAAATTGAAATTAAATGATAATTATTTCTTCATTAAAAAACATAAATATTTGTTATAGATAGGAGCAATAAATATATAAAAAAAATGTTACAAGAAAATAAAGTTTTTTTTTCTCAGATTTCATTAATAACGCATAATTAAAGATACATATTTGTAATTTGGATCATTATATTATTATTACATCACTTTAATCATGTGTCTTTTTCATAAATTGTTGAACCATCGCACCTAGCTGACCGTGTTCTTGTCAAAATTCTGTGACATGGTAATCTCTACAGATCTACGCTTCATCGAGTATTGGGTAATGGCTCGGAAAGATACTCTGTAAGAATTTCTAAAGCTTTTACTTTGCTTTCAGTAAAATTCTACTTTTCATGCAATATCTCAATTTTTAATTTGGGCACTTCCTTTGGTTTTCTTAATTTGTCATCAACCGTCCATGTAATAAACGAACAAAAAGGATGAAAATACTGTTGAAGGGCTATTAATGAGAGAAAAAAACTACAGCAGAACCTCTATTAGTTAACTACCAAGATACAGTTCCTTGAAATTCACTTTATAAATGATATCATCTACAATATTGGAATTATGTGGTCCCGAGGTTTTTAATTTATTATGACTTTACTATAGTTTATATTTATGACCCATTAGACCCAGAACTGTATTGATGCGCAGATGACAAGACGCAGCTTAGATCTTTACAATTCTAGAAAACATAACCAATGATGTAGAGATTATGACCAATGAACTTGTTATTGTTCCTCATTTTCGTTTCATGGGAGTCGAACTATGTCCAAGTTTGTAAATTGTTTGTTCTTCCCATCAACAAAATGATTAGGACTTAATCAAAGAGAACAGTTTTTAGTTCAATGGTAGAATACAAATATTTCCACTCCAAATGAGTTTTTATGGTTAACCAGAGTTAATTTTGAAAAAGTCTTATGGTTAGTTGTAAGTGGGATTTTGAAATAATATTTAAAATAAAAATAATTAAAGTTGATTTGATGTAAAAGTAAGAGAGATGATTTGAAGTGATAATTAGTTAAAATTATGTGAGTGGATGAATTGTAAATTAAAGTTGATGTGATGGGTAAGAATGATTGGTTGATATTATTTAATTATATTGATAATATTGAGGTCAGTGGAGTTGAGTTAAAGTTGAGTTAGATTTTGAGTATGGATTGAGTTTTTTTGTATACAAACACACGGTTTTCTGATGGGGCCAAGCTTTATCTATAGGGTAAAGATTGATTATGTATACAACATTTTACGGTAATATATTTTTGTACCCCTATTGCTCGTTGAACTCATTGGCAGATACACGAGGACTAATTCTCAATGCATGTTGTTTGTTGGACCAGATAGCGTTCTTTGTTGAGCCGAGTCATGATTGCATTGTTGAATGCCTCCCGACTTGCCAATCAGACAAGAACCCTCCGAAGTGAGTACATTGATGATTAAGCTGCATTTGAATTTCTGAAATTACTCTATCTCCCTCTCTCTCTCTGAAATTACCCTCGACTTGTATGTATTTCATGTGGCGCTGTAGCCATGTTCTAACCATTAAAATATTTCACAAAGTCAGAAGTATCTAAATGAAATGAGAGGTATAAGCTGTTTCCTTCAAATATTTTTTTTAATATATGCACTTTTACACCTTTACAGGTATCCCCCAATCAAATGCAAAGATTACCTGCGTCAGAGGTATAAGGAGACACACGCTGACCTCACTTCCTACAAATAGTGAAGATACTATGCATGCAACTTAGGTTTGTGAAAGCTTCTGATGGTCAAGATAGTGCCATCCGAAAGTGGTTCATTTACCATCACTCACCTGTATGTTCATGTCTTCATGGTTCGTTTGTAGTTTCTACAGTTGAAAATTTGAAGTTTTAATTCTGTTGTTTTTCATGTGAATATTTGAATTACGTTTTGGATGATAAATAAGATTTGTTTTGTTTTCGTACTGTGGGAATGAGCGGAATTAGTGTAGTTCGTTGGTTTATTTCGCTTTGAAACTGTCATTGCACAGGGCCAGAATCGGCCAACCGGGCTTACCTTATTCACAGTTATATTGGCCGACGAGGTTATGAGATCGCTTCCCAATGAGAATTTCTAGATAGCTTCAAATTACCTATAGTAAAAATGTGATCTTTCCTGTGTCAATTACATGGAAGTTATGGGGACAAAAAATTTAAAATTCCATATCACCAAATAGAAAAACAAATGTGATTGTCGTTTCTTCGTTTGCTAATCAATATGTAAAATAAAATTTTGTGTTAGCTTTTGAATGTATTTATTCAATTACCCACTTAACTAAAATAAATGTTTTTTGCATTATTGCATTTTTAAAGACTTCTGTATGTCCACTTATTTTATGTTAATAGACGATGTGTTAATGTCACATAGAAGATCACATCGTAGTTTTTTTATAAGATACAAACGGTTTTCACAATTGAGTTAGTTTTGGACAGAATTATTGGTTTAGGCTATAGTATGAATTTGGAAGGAGTTTGTCTTGGTTATTAGTTTATACTTGTTTGTTACGTTGAATTGAATGGGATTCAATCGAGACATGTTCTTTTATTCTAATGGGCTAGTATCTCAGTGGCTGCTGACTAATTCTTGACTACTAATTATTGACCGTGAGTGTTATAATTATATATGTTAGATG